GGGTTTAGGGTTTAAATCCTGACCCCAGCGCGCAGATTCGGAAGGTGGTCTGAGGATTAGGTGCTGGGTTTCCTTCTGCTGGCTTTGTTGGAGGTTTAGGGTTTAGGGTTTAGGGTTTAGGGTTTAGGGTACCGGAAAGGGTTCCGATGAGTGTGCTACTGGTTGTATAGTAGGGCTACAGGGTATCAGGAGATGGGTGTCCGAGCTTTCTGGAATTTGCTGTCTGATGTTTGTTTGATTTCTTAAACTTCATTCGATATTGTTAGTAGAGGCTCCCCCCTGAGCCTCAGCCACTCCAAGACCGCACATGGGCTGAAATTCCCAGCACTTATGCATCTTCCTAAGTACTATTGGCCAATTACTCGTACCCCAAACCCAAGCACCGAGTCACACCCTAAACCTTAAACCCCAAACCCAAGCACCTAGTCACACCCTAATCCCTAAACCCTAAACCCTAAAACGCTAAACCGTCTAGGTCCTTCCTCATGATCCGAAGCCATCCCCCAAACCTTCCCTCCTTAACCCTGCACCGACACCTCTCCCACGCCCAAACCCACACGACCCTAAGCCCTAGACTACCTTAGGGGCCTTACACTGGGTTCAGGGTTTAGGGACTTTAGGGACTTTAGGGGCCTTATAATGATTACAATAGGGCTTTGGGGATGCCTTATATTATCATTATGGTACCCCCCCTAAACCCTATTGAAATGATGACGGCCCCTACATGAAACTAATCTCGGCCACCCCAAAAAGGACCGCATCGGTATCGCGGGTCCCTTGGCCACGGCCTTTCGGACCGTGAACTTCGTCCAGGGTGAGGACGTCTTCGCGCACGGAAAGAAAGCCGAAGGCCTGGGGTTTACGGTTTAGGGTTGAGAGTTTAGGGTTTAGGGTTTAGGGTGTAAGGTTTACGGTTTAGGGTTTAGGATTCATTCCCACGGGGTCCAAGGGGTCCAGAGGGATTCGAGTTTCAGGTTTAGGGCTTAGGTTATCGGTTTAGGGTTTAGGGGGGTCCAAAGGGTCCGCAGGGCTTCGAGTTTCGGGTTTAGGGTTTACGTCATCGGTTTAGGGTTTTAGGGTTTAGGGTTTAGGGTTAAATATGGTTAGCTGCTTGGAGGTTCATGGGTAGTTATCAGGAGGGCTATAAATCCCCCCAAAACATGGGTCATAGTTATAGTAACCCTACTTATAAACCCACCTATAACTGCCCATGAACCTCCAGGTGAGGTCTTACCACCCAATGAGGCCCTTTGGGTCCGTGCACGCAGACATACTTCGGCCTTAAATCAGTACGTTGGGGCTCAAAAAAGTATGTTTTAGTACATGGGACCATTAGAGAACCAGAGTTCCGAGTTTGGGTCAAAGCATGTTTCAGTACATGGGACCATTCGAGAACTAGAGTTTCGAGTTTGGGGTTTGTTCCGGGTCTACTTATACTTCAGTTTCTTGAGTTTTCGGGTTCTCATAACTCGTAGGATGCCGGGATGAGAGTCCAAGCAACCAACACCCTAAACCCTAAACCCTCACTACACGTTAGGGCTTTCGGTGCCCAAGTAGTCTACTCTGATTGGCTTTGGGTTCCTAAAGCCTGACGTACCGGAATCGAACCATGACCTGGTCTTAGGCCGTATCTTTTTTGAAGGTTTAGGGCCTAGGACCCTCAATTTGTACAGAATCTACCCTAAACCCCAAACCCTA